CAGGGATGTGGGACGTTGCTGGAGAGGATTTGAAATCTCTTGAGGAATATGGAATATTGAAATTGCTAATACTTTCACTGAAATGAGCCTGATGTTGACCTCGTTTTTTATCTTGATTTGCCCTCGAGCGCATTTGATCGAGTTGATCGGCCTCGCGAGCTCGACTCAACCCTGGAATCAGCATTCGATTCGAGTTTTTTTATATTATTATTATTATTATTAACGAAATTAATTTGAATTTAACCGGAATTGCAACTGGCTCGAACCCAAACTTGACTCAAATTGAATTCAATTCAGACTCGAGTCTAACCTGGTTCTTAATCGGGTCTCTAACCAAATAATATTATATGCACTCTCCAACTCTCAATAATACAGCCATTAAAACTGCGCACCTACTAAGATCCATTGGACTTATATACTCATAGCGCTCCACTGCAAGAGGTGTAACAATTGCCCGTTAGATCATAGCAGCCTCGAGGTGGCTCCGGTTTTCGTGTTCTGATAGTCCAGACGTTAGGCGTAAGCCCCCTCGAGCTGGCCGATCGTGAGGCGTAAGGGTAAAGGACTGCTCTAATCTGTAAAATCTTTAACGACACGAGAGACTTGCCCTCCGTGCTGCAAATGAAAAAAAATTGGTAAATAAGGGTTAGCAGGGAAAATTAAGTAACAATATTGTACCTCTACACTAAAAACATCGTAAATGAATATTGAACACATAGTGAAAAAAAAAACAGTAGATGAATTAAAATCGCATTTTGTACGAAGAGCCGGTCCTCGCGCCAATTGACGCAGACCCCTTTTCCTTCCTACTACCGTAACTATCGTACATACTACATAAAAAAATCCACCAAAAATTTTTTCAAAAAAAATCTAAACGCATGTTAGATTTATCTTTCACCTACAAATACTATTAATACTAGAGACTCAAAAAGCTCTCAAAAAATCCGCAATTACCTAATAACTGCATTTTGTGTGACTATGTGCGCCTCGAGGCAGGAAAGGCAATAAAAACCTGGAGATACAGCTTCGAACGTTCGCGGAGACGAGTGCAGTTTGGGCCGCCGGCTGGGGGAGAATGGTCCAGTTGCAGGGATAAGTAATGGAGGTAACATTTATCGGAAGCTTTATCTT